TACCAGATGATGAGGTTCTTGACAAACTTACTCACTTCTTTGAAGAATTAGAAAGCCGTAAGTATACTTTTATCAACAAAAAATGTGTTCATATTTAAGCAGGCATGTGTTTTCAATCTGGCAGTTCAGTTATAATTTATTTGGAACAATATACCAAATCAGAATTTAATTTTAACTGCCATTTTTTTTAGGGAACTCACTCTCTTTAAAGTTTGGGAAAATCCTCACTTTCAGAATTAAATAAAATTTGCTTATTTAGCATTGTGCTGTTGACCCCTGAGTTTTTGTCTTGTGCTTTTATAAAAATTATGAGTATCAAATTAATTAAGTTTTCGCTGACTTCAGATCTTAGGATTACCATCCGATTAAAAGCTTTATGCAAATTTTACAGATTTATTTATGCATAAAAATGATGATGAGAAGAGAAAATAATTTTCAAATAACTAACATTTTCAATTTAATGATAATAATTAGATTTAGATTCAAGCAATTTATATACATACATTTATATACTTTTTTTTATATACAGTATAAATAATATAAATAATTTTTTTTTTTTTTATATGTAAAAGTTTGGTGATGTTAGGCCTATATACCTGGTGTGATATCTGGTACCTGTGTATGCCATGCATTTGTTACATGTTGGGCCATGTGGACCTTGTATTCAATTTTTGATTAAAGTGTCCTACAGTACATACAATTACTTTTCAATTTTTTGAATTGAATTGAATTGCATTTTAAAGGTCAAGTTGAGTGAACTTCCCAGGCATTTGAAGTTAAAACTCTTTCAGTCTATTAAAGGTTTATTTTGACAAAAACTTGTGACATGATGATGTCACATCATGACCATATATAGGCACATCATGACCATATATAGGCACATCATGACCATATATAGGAACATCATGACCATATATACTGTAGGCACATCATGACTATATATAGGCACATCATGACAATATATTGGCATACAACAGTTTATTGTTAATGAAAATTTGATAATCTGGATATTCATTATAAAACACTCAAAATGCAACAAAAGTTGAAAACTTCTTGAGGGTACATATAACAAGATGCCTGCCATACAGAAAACAGACAGAAAACAAGCAAAATACAGTACAATCAAAAATTTTAAAAAGCCTACAGTAAATTTAAGGAAATAACAAATTAAAGAAGCAGTATTTATAATTACATGAAAATATGTTAGATTATACTTTAATATTGTCAAATATATATTTCAATTATATATTACACAGCAAATTGATTATCAATAAATGATAAACAACCATATGTACAATTCATTAAAATTGATATGAATTATTAAGTCCAAATATTTTTTTTTCTTAGCAAATTTTATATAATTACAAAAAACAAAAAAAACAATTAAACATCAATTCATTAGGCCAAGATCTGAAAGTTCAAATGAAAAGTGAATGGTTTCATAAAAAAGTATTTATAAATGCCATTAAATCCAATAATCAAGGCACTATACAAATACAATATATTAACATTGTTATTTTTTCAGGTGATAACTCTGAAGATGTTTACAAGTTAATGTATAAACACTTTGGATTTGTTGTTTGTCATGGACCCAGTAAAGTGGTGGAGAGTGGCACAGGTGTAATTGTTAGTAAAGGCTGTATTCCAGCTGGTAGCATTACATCAATTTATCCAGGTACTAAAGTGGAACTTCGTATTTCATGCTAGTGAAGGTGTATGTCATGTTGCTGTATCATTAGGCCTGGAAAAAATATTTTTGTGCCTCCAACCATGAACATTTTCTTGATCGAATGCCTCCAAGACCAAATTACACTATTGTAGTGAAACAGTAGTATATTTAGTGGTTTGGAGCAAGCAATAATATTAAATTTAATTATGCATTAAATTGTGATGTGTAAAAAAAAAAAAAGTTTTTTTATAGTGCCTCCGGGTTAAAGGTCAATGCGGCCGGTCGCACAGTCGTGCACTTTTTCCAGCCCTGTGTAGCAAACCTGTTTATCCCGAGGCCATGTATAGGAAAATTTGAATTTATTAAAGCTTTATAAAAAAAAATGTGAGAAAATTTGTACTGTTAGTGTACTAAGAATATATGAAATAGTTGTAATTGTAAGATGGTTCTTTGATGCAATCCAGTTACAAAAACTTAAAAATGTACACAAAAGCAAGGTACTACTGTATATACCTTTTATATAAAATATAATATATTAATTTCATTAAAAAGTACTTTACAGTAATTTGATATGAAATACTCTCCTTTTTCTTCTTTTTTTGTAGACACTACAAACGCTTTATGCTATTGCTTTGTGTTTCTGTGATATAGTAATTCTTAATTTCATTTTGTTTTTTTAAGGCACAATTTATCACCCATATGACCCGATTTTTCTTCAGTCCATCAACAATTCATTCATCTTCCGTTGCCTCGATGGACTTTACATTGATGGCAATGATAAAGGATTATCAAAGATTATATTCAGGTAAAATATAAAATACAATTGTATTTAAAATTATTATTTGTATCAATTTAGAAAGTGATGTAGAATGTACCACATGTTCAGTATTTAATATTTTTCTTTTTATTAGATCATGCTCACAAAGAGATCGTGCTGGACCATACTTGGTTAGCGATATGTCTTGGTTGACCTCCGACCTGTTAAATCCTCTGTCAGTTGGCCAGTATGTCAACAACCAGACAAGCAGTAAGTTACAGTACTTGTTTCAGAGCTTATTATTGCTTTCGCTGTCATCATGTCAGTTTTGTTCTGTATTATAATTCCAGTGTTCTTCCTAAGCTGGATTTGCCGTAATAAAACGCTCTTGATCCACAATTTAGATTTGAAGGTTGTTTCAAATCATATACTCTAGCTTACCACAATTTCTAGTCGTCTGCTGCTCTAATGTGATACGGCAAGGTTGTTATGTTTATTTCTTCTGAAGCATGCATTTCTATCTGTTTTCAAGCAGAGCTTTAAATCACATTTTTTTTTTCTGTTTAATTTGTCTTCTGTACAGTTTGTTGTTCGGAAAGGCTAAGTCAGATCCCAACGTTATTCTAACACCTGCTAACCACTGCTTGCCGGTGGTCTCAAATTGAAAGTGAATGGTGCGATAGTGTTGGTTCCTCCCCGTTAGTCTCTTTCTGTTATTTATTTTATCGTGGTTAGCTTAGACGACCTATTACAATAGATTTGTTTGTTTGTTTTCTGTTTAGTGCATGGAGACCATGTTTTATACGCTATATAAGTCTCCAACCATTACTATTACCATGCTTTTTTTACCTCATCTCTGACAGTTTTTACCTATGACATTTGGCGTGATTTTTTTTTTAAATCTATCTGCGAGTTGATAAAGGTTTGTTGAATGAAATTGAACTACTGTAATTATAATTACCATTTATCTTTTAAAACAAAACTCTTTTATAGGATTTCCGGCCAATGTAGCTTATCAAGAAATTGATTTCCCTGCAGAGTTTCCATTCCATTTCCGAAAATATCTACCACATATATTTTACAATGCAAGTTTTGAAAGTGGGCAAAGCTCAAGCAGCAGGTAACTGGA